TAGTCCCACAAATAATATTCAAAATCTGAACATTCAACTTTTTATGTATAGATTGTGCGGTATGCTACTCATTCTCCTCATCAGTCATATCTATGTCAAAATCTCTGCAGTTGATGTCATCCTTATATTACTGAACTAGTAAAGATCAAGCCAGACTTTTAATTTTGGCAAGCACAGTACAGTACCGCAACTTCTTGTTTTATTTACCCTCTAGAACTCCAATCTATTTCTATCAACAGGCTAGGTATATATATAAGAAAAAAGAATGGAAAAAGAAACCCAGAAACAGCTAGAAAAATATGGTTGAGGGGGAAGGCTCTAAGCCACTTCTGCATCTTCTTCCGGGAGGCCTCCAGTTGCTTATTGGAAGGAGTTCCTTCCTTGCTGGCAAAGAAGGCACAAAAGCGAAGTTAGATATAATCCTTTAAGCTCTATAGCACCAACTATACCTATTAGATTAACCAGATACAGGAGCTGAATGAGAAACTAAGTATTAGGCGGAGACACCCTGATAATCTTCAGAGTTGTTTAGGCCAACTAAAATTTGTTTCCGTAGATGGGGATTGTCTAAGAAGGCTTGAACTTTGCTTGTTTTATTTATGACTACTGAGAGTAAAGTAAAATAGGTGGGGTAGAATTGAATCAGAATGACAATATTATATTGTTAAGGTCTCTTCTCTATTACTTGATGATATCTAAAGCTTGAGTGGCATATTGATATTCATATTCCTCATCAGTATTCACAGACTACATCTATTTAGTATACAACTTTGTACTTCTCTGCTTATAATCCACAACATCAGGAATTCTTAAAAGGTGTGAATACCTGGAGATCCTGAAAATCGCCATACCCTCTTCGGCAATTACAATATAACTAACTAGGAATTATACTGTTCCCAATAGTAGTTATCCAATTATTAGAGTCTTTAGACTTATGGCCTAGTTCTCAAGTTAAACTGAGTTGGCCCCAATTGTCTCCTCATTGATGAAATGATCAGTTTCATCTGCGGGTTGTATTTACGAAGGTAGTCGTAATCCCAATTATTCTAGGTCACTTGACTTCAAACTTTTATAACTTCTTACCCAACCAATAGATATCTTTCAGAGGACTTCCTACTGATTTGCAGAATGCTATTCTATCAGATTGATAAATATTCCCTCAGTCGGCAACCCTTGATTTCTCTGGGTAATCGGGTTTCAATCGCTATAGTAGTATTGAAAGTCATCTCTGCAGCTACAATATGTTCTAAAACCTAGTTGTAACACTCCGTGAAGTCCATTGACTTCTATGGTAGTGCCTCTCAAAGTTCTAGACTCTCAGGCTTCTGGTTATTGTAAGATAGATATGAATGTATTAATCTCTCATTGAAATTCTTTACTATTCGATATCATCTCTTCATACAAAAATGTCCTGTTACCTGTAGCCTATGCTGAAGACATTACATCTTTGAAGCCTAGTAACTCTCTGAGTAGTTGATAGACTTACTTCATTCCACTTCTCAGACTTAGCTGATGGTCCCCTCTCATATAACCTGTAAATAGGATCAAGTTAAATAGACGGTGGCAACGTATATAGTATTATTCTGACACCTTCAACTCTGTGGTATTATAGTCACAGGACGCAACTGAGATTGATATGTATGATGACGTGCGGGCTCCAAAAGGGGGCTTGAGGAGGGGTGTTAGAGACTAGGGATTCCGATTCTGAGTTGGGTTACCCTACTTAGAGTGATTCCTAGATATCGGATTCCAGTATTCCTAACACTAACCGATGAAACTCTAAAGAACAGGAAGTAGAATTGCCATTTCATTACTTTCTGGTCAGATATAAGCTTGTCAAATTTCCCGTGAATCACAACAAACTCCTTATAGACTGTAACTTTTCCATCGTTGATTGATTTCCTGAGCTCATTGCCAAGTTCGGCAATGGATTTGATTACATCAACTTTGAAGTTACTGTAGTCCTGCTGTAACGATCTCCCCTCAGATGGTTAGTTCTTGGTGACAGGGAATGATACTTCTCTTCTCTTACTTCTTCTTCCTTCATCTTATGATAGCACTAGGCCTCTGCCTACATTACCGATAGTATAAGACCTTTGTCTTCTATCGGGAATGCCTATCGTAAGCTTTCTCTAACTCTTCTTCATGAAGAACTTTCCTTGGCGTAACAATAACATTGCAATAAAGATAAAGATCATAAAGGTGTTTTATATTCATTCAAGTAATAAGTAGGAAAAGTACTTAGAATAAAGCATGAAGAACCTATCTTCCTCGGCCGCACCGGCCTCCTTATATAGTATTCTTCCCACCCATAGTCATGTGACCCAAAGTGGTCACATGTGCGAAACCAAATCATAACAAACTAGTCATGTGACCAAAGTGGTCACATGCTCAAAACCCATGACCTCGTAGTAAGGTCATGTGCAAAAACTCATAAACCAATCATAATGTAATAAACAAGTCATATGACTTGACTGAGTCATATGCATGAAACCCATGACCTCATAACGAGGTCATGTGTGAAACATAAATCATATGTGCAAGGCTTACCTGCAAGGCACACTCGCGGGGCATACTCACCAGGCGCACGTCCCATGACTTATATTTGAACCATGTGCGAAAGCATCACAAATCCCACACATAACAAATCATATGACTCGAATGAGTCATATGTGTGAAACAATAACATACCTGTGACTCATAACCATGTGTCACATGAAAACTTTTTTCATGCCAAGCCACGTTTGTGACACCTGCCATCATCATCTTGATTAATTATCACTATGTATTTGGAAATGAAATCTGTACCTTAATAGAACCATCAATTTTGCCATTGAGTCTATTAATTCAATTCCACTATACCATAGTTTGTAAGCTGAAGTTTAAATAATCAGTTTGAGGTAGAGGGACTTACAAAAATATCAGACTGGCCACTATGACCATGGTTTCTGGTACCATCGTTTCCAGTGCTGTCATTGATAAATTGATCGTGAAATACCCTGAGCCAAATACATTGATAGATGAGGGCAGGAGAGTAGATTTTTGTTTGGTGTAAGAGTCAGAACATAGTGTTTGATAATTGTTGTAAGTGGACTCAGATAATTGGGTAGAAGATGGTTGACCTTGAAATCCAGGCTCTTAAAAGCTCAGTGGATGTTACCAATCACTGCCAAGCCTACAGTGCAGAGTGTCTAAAAGTGGGTCCTCCAGTGGAATGGGAAATTCCATTTCAACTGATTGGAATTGAGCCCGAGTTGCCAAGCTGACCTGAGTTGGGTGAAATGATATACGTAGAGACAATGGCAGAGAGATAAATAAAGCAGAAATTAATAGCATAAGGTTAATATTATGATACCTTTAAAGAAGAAAGATTTTCTATCATTGCTGAAGGTTCTGTTATTTTTAATAAATAATATTATGGAAGCTTTGTGCAAAAATACAAAAATACAATACAACCCCACCTGGTTTTTGGTATCTAGCTTAACAATAAGATGCCCAGGCTTGGTGTAAAAATAATAATACAAGTTTTATGGGTTTTGTGGGGGTGCCTAACTTGGTGAAAAATATGCTTTTCTTTTTTTTAGATTATGTTAGCTTTGTGAAAAAGATTACCCAGTATTGGAGTTAGTGTGTCTGAGTCGGAAGCCTCATAGGGTATGTCGCCTTCTGGTATTTTAAGTTGGCTTGGTGTGTGAAAAGCTGTCCTTTCTGGGGTTTGCGAGGTTCTCCTACTTGGTGAAAAGATGTCTCTCAAGATGTCTCTCAAAGGGACACAGAACGTCTGGTCACAGAGCCAAACCTGGCTCCAAGAGTCTGTTTACAGCTTCAAGATGCTGCTTTGGGGCTGTCCGGAGCATCATCTAAGATCATTGCGAGTGATTTCTTACGGGCACAAAAGTTGCTTAAATTACGATCCTAAATTGGGGGCTTAGTAGTCTTTCGAGGGTACTTTTCATTGTAATATTGTAACAGCGGACTGTGCCTCAAGTAAGGTACAGTACCGGTATCTTTAGGGGGGGGGGGCTTTGCGATGCAGTCAGGTTTGAAAAGTTCAATAGAAAAACTCGCCCACCCAATTTATTATCGATCTCAGATTAGTGATTGGCAGCTTCTTCATGGGATCAGTGCAACAGTAGGGTGCTTTGCATAAGACTCCGAGGGCCGAATGAGCCCATCCTAACCCACTACAATAGGGCAAATCTTAATATTTCCTGTATCCGGGAAAAAGTACCTGTACTATTTCGTATCCGAAAATGAGACAAGGTTTTTATCGCTGGTTGGGAGGTTGTGTAACAATAGCCGTATTTTCAGATTCCTGAGTTTCCAGGCACCGGCATTGTGCGGGTTCCCTTTACTTACTCTTTCCTAGCGCAACCTGGGTCGTGGGCCAATTTTCTAGGCAGCTACCGGTAGCAGTAGTCCTTGCACAAGTAGGATATACTTACTTACTCTTGAGCGCGACGCATGAGAGCTGGTGGCGGAGCTGGGTTGTTATTGGTTGTCCTGGTGCGGGAAATGCTGTAATCCGTTTCACACCGTTTCGGAGGGCGGCACAGATCAAGCAGTAACTTGATTACCCGCGTCTGGGATTCGTCTTTAACGAAATTTCCAACAGGTTAAGCAACCCTCGACTACCGGTTCCCGTAAAACTGTACAGTACTCCCTCTCGATCCAGGTTGGCTCCCCTACCAACCTGCAGACATTGGTTAGCGCCTTGTATCGAAGAAAATCAAAGGAAGGCTGATAGCAACGTGAGACGGATATCCTCACGTGTGCTGTACTACCCCACAGGAAATCAAGCACTCCTTTCTCGTATTTCAATGGGGCTTAAAAATAAAGCTGTGGTTTTAAGATCAAGTATATATAACATGAAATATCCTCAAGATTTTTACGTTCTTTTCTTCCACAGCTCACAGATTTCATTTCATTCCCTAGCGGTCTTTACCAGCCTTACATTCACTTTGGTTTATCCACTCTTTCATTCCTTTCACTATAACATTCTTTTATCACGATTCTCACAACATATCAGAAATAGCTTCAGGAAGTTATTCTTTAATATTATTACTTGACTCGTTCACCTATTTTTGAATCCCCGATCACTCGACCAGATATGCGTACCTCAGCATATACAGCATTGCTTGGGGGTCTTCTCGGCCTATCCTCTGCAGCGGTTATCGAACGTTCCGCCGTTGAATTGAAGCCTATCAAGCCTGACGCTTTCGTCCCTGGATTGACGCCGAGATCTGAGGGAGAAGCACCAACGGTCTTGAGACCAATCAATCCCGATATCTTCGCTGCGGTGAATGGGTTGAAGCCCAGAGCTGATGTCGACTTTTCCAAATTGGATCTTGCCGACCAGGCGCAGCTCATTTTCGGTGCGCCAGGGGAAGACGGCAATGTCATGTTGGCAAACATGACGCTTTATGCTCCGAGTGGACAGCAAATTGTCATGATGGAGTCCTTTGAGGGACTCACTTCGGCCGTGGACTGCAAAGGAGATGACGGCGAAATGGCTCTGACATTCAAATCTCAAGAGGCTTTCGACTATGCCCATAAGCAGTGGTCATTTATCAACGAGAAGTCGGAAAACGCATTCTTGCTCATTGCGAACCATGACGGGTGCGGTCCGGATGATGAGAGACAAGCTTACAAGTATTAATTCCCGCCCATTTTTAAGAGTGACAATGCTAACAATTTCTTAGTATTACCGGGATTGACGATGTTGATGGAACATTGACCACTCTTCTCAAGGCTTCTCCGGCCAGCTGGAGCGATATTTCCGGCACCTTTGACCTTGATTTCGGCTATGCATCTCTTACGCCTGATGCCGCCCGGCGCCTAAGGGCTCGTGGAATTGGTGATTTTTTCGATGATATCACGGATACTATCGGGGATGGACTTGATAGCATTGGCGATGCTTTCGGAAGTATTGGGGATGCCGAGTTCGATAAATCAGTCTCTTTCGACGTTAGTGTTGGAACCGAAGGAAAGAGGACCGATATCATCCCTAAACTCTTCGCCTGTGTTGATTGCTTCATCACTGGAAAATTCAAGGTCGCTGGTAAATTATCGGTCGATAACTTCGTCGTTAAGGATTTGACCCTTGGAGCATCCCCCGAGGACTTTCGCGCCAAAATGATCATGGAAGCGAGGGTTTCCGCTACGCTTTTGAACGGTATCCCAGGCCTTAACCTGACGCAGGAGCTGGCTAGTTTCCCCATCCCAGGTGCCGGAATTTCTGTTCCTAAGATCTTCGAGCTTGGCGCTATCATTACTTATGAAGTCGGTGTCGAGTGCTCTGTCACCGGTGAGGCAAACTTTACTTTCGGCCTCAGTGCCTCTCTTCCAAACAGTGCCCTCGTGTCTCTCAACTTGGCGGATGTCTCTCAGAGCCAGGCTTCCGGTTTTGACGGTGCTACTTTCGACCCCGTATTCGATATCAACTCTGGCTCCGTTTCCTTGAATGTTGCCGCTATCTCTCGCCCTAAACTTACCTTCGGAATTGAGATTATTGGTGTCGGAAAGCTTGAGGCTGCCCTCAAGATGGGTCTTCCTGTGGTCAGCACTAAGCTCACTGCTGCTTTCGGTAAGATTAGAATTCGGGATAAGGTTCCGCCTCAATTCGAGCACTCCACTAATTCACTCCACAGATGAGCAAGGTGTTTGTGAAAAGACTCCGACTGCCTCCAGGACTGGTTTCAAGGTCAACTCCGACGTCTCCGTTAACCTCGCAGTCAGTGTCGATGGGTCGATTGGAAGTGTTTCTACTGGTCTTGAAAAGAACCTCTTCGTACGCCCTCCCTATTCTCTTCCATGGCGTCATGTAATCACTAACTAATTGGAACACAGACATTCAAGCAACCCCTCCTTGACAAGTGTTTCCCCCTCAACATCCCGGCCCTCGACCCCAAGCCCTCCCAGACCACCAGTGCGCTACCCTCGGCCTCGGCGACCGCCGCCTCAGCCAAGGATACTATCAGTGGATTCAAGCCCGGGAACCTTACACTCCCGGGATCCAACCACTCTGAGCCGATCACGAATCACACCGCACCCAGCCCTACTGGTAGAAAGCTTCCTCTGAGAGCTTTGAGATTTTCCCACTAAACTTATGGAGGCATGATGGATGGATAGAGTGTGTTTAGGTTTTTTTTGTACTAGTAGATGCGTTATTTAAAAAGTAGGATTTGATCCCCTCCGAGACGGTAGTAGCAGACTTGTCTGGCGTACGTGTGAATGGGCTTTGTGCCGGTGGTGTTTGAAATCGGCAAGCTACTTAAAAAAATGAGTGAATGATATGCAAAACTCGTCTTCCAACCACTTTAAACTTAACTCCCGGTTTCACAATCTCTCACTCGATTATCAATAGGATTCCAAAGGTTGGTTTACATAGGGTCTGATACGATACGACATGATACGATGCGGTAACCTACCGGAGGCCTACCAGACGCCATCAGACTGACAAATACTGCAAAAGACTTTACAGATCTCAGCAGAGGCGATAAGGAAGGGGTCACATTAGTGTACAGAGAAGGAAAAAAAAATCACTCCACTCGGATTCAAAGATACACTACCGGCCCCCCCCCAAAATCGCAAGCAAGAATATCACGGATCCGACTTAGTCCTCCTCAGTAGGGCCCTCACCCATATACAACCCTCCTCATATACTACGAAATTCTCACTGTCCCCGGATACTGTAATAATCTCAAACAATCGAACCGTTGTGCTATGTAGTTGAGAATTCCCTGCTTTGGAAAAGGAGCGACAAAAAAAACATGGCAGAAAAAAGAAAGAAGCTGCTCAGGTCCCCCGAGAGACAACAAAACAAAAAAACAACGGGGGGACCCTCCCAGAGGAGGCAACTCCAACGATATAGCACAAGTTCGATTATTTGAGGTTTTACGGTATCTAGGTCTACAGGCCAACGACCTAAAACCACCCCGTTGACATGAAGAAAAACAAAAAACGTAATTTATGTATCAATCATTTCTAAGCCTAGTCGGGCAAATTCACCGAGGACTTGAAAGAAGGGGCGCACCTCGTCCTGTGGGGTAGAATAGGGGCAAGGCGGCTATCGTTTAAATTTATTTCATAAACGTGTTGGCCGTACAGACTTTGAACTAAATGTATGATACTATTTACTGCGTAAATTATAGTTGTCAGCTCTTGCCACACAATAGCAACATTCTACCGCGGTATGATACTGTACTGTACTCGTACTAGTACTGTACCTAACGCTGAAGGGAGAAGGTGTCAATTTATGATACATGGTATGGTAAGCAGCGCGTTGTCGTAAGCGAAGGTATTACCCCCCCCCCCGGTGTATTACCCCGATGCCGTGGTTCTGGTGTGGGGGAAATGCCTGAGTAATCCCCACTAACTTACTCTGTGGTCAGGGCATAAAGGGTACCATAGCCCATAAAATTTTATGATATGCATGGAATGGTGGCGGTATGATATTATTATGATAAAGCACCTCGTGTTGTGAGGGTTACTTAAAACTGAAGGGGCTTTATGGAATACCGGTGCTGCGAAATTACTGTTGCATAAGCGTCCTTGTTATCCGCATTTTCCCTTTCTGGTATCTATTCGCCACTGAAATGGGTCATGGTGGCCATGGGAGTTGTCGATCCGCCTTGACGTGAACTGGGATTGCAATTTTATAGTGAGAAATGCGGGTTTTTCCTTCTCTTTCCGGTATCATAATATGTCGTACCTCGCAGCTGTAACTACGGCACTAGTATTACTGTATTCGTTTACCGTACTGTGGTGTGCGGTATCTTTCGAACACCAACTATCACCAATGCATGGATTATCTGACAATCTAGTTCTTATAACCCATAACTCTTCCCCACATCCCACTCCCCCCCTCCATCACCAGTATGCCGGTACGGTATCGCTTAGATTTGCCTAGCATGAATTACATCCTAGAACCTACCGGTATGATAAGCTATCCACCGGCCTCCAAGTTGCCCCGAGAGGTTGGGTCAGGGGCAGGCGCAAATGAACTGCACAAATTGAACCCATACCGTATACCTTCTCTTGCCAAGGCCAGCGCAATGGAAGCACTCTCTGAGATATTATTCATGACCAGCGCTTGCGGTGAGCAGCAAGTTATAGCAGAGGCTGTCCCTGTTGAAATTTGACCTTCCTATCTGCTTTCCTAATTTGCCCCACCCTGCTCTCCTAGCAGGAGCCAACTGGCCCGCTGGGCTAGCCTAGGTTGTACTATAATTTGTTGGGCTCGGTCGGGCTGTGCCCTCTCATTTCGACCTATGCATACTTGTAGGCCCCTCAATTGGAAGGCCGGTAGAATAGGGATTTACTATGCATTTCGTCTGATGAATAAACTTAAGGATATAGAGTAATGCCGGTCCGGTGTCGTCTGCTAAGTAATCCACCGCTTATACTATAACATCCCGAGGTCGTCACGGAGTTCCTACCTCGACATACCCGGAAAGCACGAGCCACCCTAGTGACTAAAAGTGACTCTAATTCTACTCCTCGTACTTGTAGATAGAGCTGACAATCCTCCAGAATCCAGCCCACCAGATCGGTCCGATTGCATCACTGTCCGGATCTTACAAGTGGAGCTTATATTGTAGTATAAAAATGTGGTACCTGCTGGTTAACCCCCTCCCCCGTGAGATTGACTCGACCCGGGTATATCTGATCTCCGAGCGGCCCGCGACGGGATACAGGAGAACACCGGTAAGGCATCCGTCTAACGAGGGCAGCACTGTAGTGACTGCAAACTGGTGCAAGACGCTCAAAGGTGAACGTAATGTTGTTACTTTCGGTTGTCGGGTTGGCTCCGGGGCTTGTTGGGGAGGTACTATATCCGTGCTTTCGGGTGTGGGGGTGGCATTTTTTCTGTACTCGTACACCTCACTATCAGAGTGGTGCGGAGGTGTGCAAAAAAAAACCAACCCATCCCTGCCCAACTAAGTCTAGAGTTTAAGGAAACTTTTACGCTTTTGAAAGGGCTGGAGGTATGATATCGCGATGGTGATATATTCTGTAAAACTACCACTGGCTTAGGGTTTTGTTGGAGATAAGTGTTTAGGATTGGCGCTTTGCTTTGGGGCCTCCCCTAGTCCATAGCTTATTAGGATAGAACACAAATAGAGGGGATTCCCCAACCATTGTCATCAACATTATTCACACTACGTCTCCCTCTCCTTTTAGCTCTTATCGTGCGGAGACTCTTTTGACGCATACGCAAGCACCAGATGATTTTTCCATATATCGGAACGAACGGGCCCAGGGCCTTAGTGTATTACCCATCTCAGTCCATTTACCAAATATTCCACAATCTATAGTCTCTCGAAGTTATCATCTATGATATATTCCAACGCAAGAAACCAACACTGATCCTCATGTCACGTCACCCATCTGGAATATCTATAGACCAAACAAGCAACCCCTCCAGATCGATCACTTGTTCCCCAATATTCTAACCATTGCTAATCCTAAGATATAACTTGCCTACCGCACTAAGTTAAATCCTCTCAAAGCATGCCAGCAGCCCGCACGACAGCGTACATCTCACTTCCCCGCCATAGGCTAGGTCTTGGCTGGGATATGGGTAAAATATCTGCTTGGGAGAGGATGTCGTGGTAGTGTGAATAGGTGCCAGGTGTAGTCAACTGGGAGAGGGAGATGGAGGATTTTTCTTGTATTTCATTACCCCCCCCCCCCCCACCCGGTGAGTGATTTTAAAGGGCAGGGAAAACTAGAATGGGGAGGTATTTAGAGTCCAACAGAGATTACCGTATGTATAATTTTGGGGGGATTAGCTTCAGTTCTCGGACCCCCGTGAGTCAGGGCCCTAATTAAAAGTCCGCGTTCTATCTAGGTGCCTTCCTCTCCGCGAGCGTGTTGTGCTTTGGTTTCCTAAACGGCCCGCCACGGCCATACTCGCATACAAGATGTCATCCCACACGACAAATGAGCACTCTAATTCAATCGGTCTTTGATCTTGAAGAAGTGCAAAATCAGAAACTTGAGGCCCCATTTCAAGCTTCCGCTAAAGAGATAAACTAGGAAGTCTCCCCAGGCGTATGCAGATAAACATCCCAGCCCCACCTGGAATAGGTAATAACCCATTCTATCCCAAAATGAAATGTTATGATACTTATGCGAAGAAAACTGTTGTTGGAGTACGGCGGTAGTCTAACACCGCCCATCGAAGAAGTCTGCCGGGCCATCTCTAGCGAGAGCGAGTACGTGGCGACAGATATTCCAGGTGAAGAAGGGCCAGGAGTGCTATTATCTGCTGGGGGGATTGAGAACGGAGAACAGCTGGATAAGGATCCTCGGTACAATATCATGTTGCATGGCCAAGTTATAAACTTCATACTACTCGGCATTCGGGACAGCGCAAAAGTTAAAGGAAGGTGTGGGATCGAGGGTACACGAAGGATGCGTTAGGGGATGATGTTCCGAGGATATTGAGTATTTGGATGAATTTATTGAGGCTTTCAACGCAGAGAGTAACATCGAAGGCGGGAAGGTTGACAACGTGAGCTACCGTACTTTGGGCATTACATAAATCACTGGAAAGCCCGTCACCCCCACCCTCAAACCGGATTCCGTGGCTAAATAATTGGGGAAACAAGTCCATACAGTAATTGGTGACCTATCTTTCTCTACTGTTTCGACATGATAAAACTGATAGTAAGGATGATAGGTTTTTGAAAATCACCGGGCTGTCACAGCGCATTGCAATGCTCGCTGCCCAAATGCCATGGATTCTCCGAGCACCGTACTGTACTTGCGTTGACGCTGTGGTTGAACAAGGACTGTACTGTTTTTTCTCATCGCATGGTGTTTGGAGATCATGGAGAGGCTCCGGAAGTCAACAGTGGCGTAGCAGGATATATTCAGCAAGTTGATCAAGGCGGAGTCACTGAATGCCGGACTGCCTATGGTTCATATAAGCTCTAGCACAAAGAAGGGGATTGCTGATAGGAGGATACTTCCCGCCCCTACCTCTCCAGAAGGTTTGGGAAAGTTAGCCCAGAGCAGCGACATGACAACAACTTTTACCCTCTTCCCCCACCTTGCGTAAAACCCCTCACTCCAACGGTGTTCTACGAAGAGCT